TATAAATATATAAGAAATCCCTTCAATACAAACAAAGATTAACACAATTTGGTATGTACAGAAATAAATTGGCTTGCTTTGTGGCTAATTTTTGTATGCAATAAAATTTTGTTCAAAATGCTCATGTTAATTGCAGCAGCTGGATTAGTTTTTCTAAATATAGTAATAAAATTTAAGCAATTGAACCTCTTTTAGCAAAAGACAAGCAAAAAAGGTTATCTGTTTAAGATTAGCTACCTAGAAGATGGAGCACTACAAAAGAGTGGCCATGTTCTTGCCATTTGCAATGAAGCTGTCTTTGATGTGCAAGGTTTTGCAACACCTCTTGTTCACAAACTTTACAATATGACTAAAAAAGAACTTTAAGAGATATTCAGTTATCATCCAAAAGCTCATATTCTTTACTTCATATGTAAATTGTTGCATGAATTTTATGAGTTAATGTCATGGTAGAAGATCTCATAAATCTCATAGCATACACACACCATTTTTTTTCTCCAAGAAGTTAGGCTGGAATGCACATGACTGCCATTGTACGTCCCAAAATTGGAAAGACAATGACAAGCAGAAGTTATACATCACAAAATTGACGTATAACTCTCGGGCCCATTAACATTAAAATCAAAGTAAACCTGTACTCTCTAACACAAAGGCCTCAAACCAAATCACTTAGTTCTATATCTAAGTGTGTTTCCACTTCAACCTATTATTCTTATCCAATGTTCATGCACTCAGTAGTGTTGAAACAAGCATTTGATTAATTTTGAAAGAGTTTCAACTCTATGTAACTCCAATAGTTGCTTTTGTTTGCATTAGAAATAAACATCAGATTGATAGAACTTCATGATGGGCTTCATACCCGTGCTCAATCAGCACAGATAATTTTGATAGATTGAGCAATTTCTTACTTTTTTCCATGTGCCTCATGTGACAAATCAACAAGTTTTTAAGCAGATGGCCACAGTTGTGAAAGAAGGGCAGATGCTGCCATCAAATTGAAGACAACAACAGCAGTTGAATTCCAAAGCAACTTTGGGTCTATTGTTTTTTTCACAATTTTTTCTACCTTCATCATCTAACCTATACACAATCCTATGGTGCTTTTCTATTTCATCTTCACTGAATCATTTTATATATCTCACACATGATATGTTATAGACAAGTGTATGGATTATAGGAATACAGTAGATTCTTGCTTCAGAAATTCCTTTTGAATTTGTAAAATTTGTGATTGCCCATTCATGTTGCTCCATATTTAGAAAAGCCTATTGCAATATATACATACACACCATATTCCAGCATGCAATGAATTATTATTAAGTTATAAGAAATTTTAATTTTTGTTTCAAAATTTCTTCTAACATATCTTTTTTTATACACTACATAGTAGTAGTAGTAATAATAATAATAATAATTTTGTATTTATTGCTTGCAATTGAGGACGTCTCTGTGTTTTTGGTATTTATTTGCATGATTTTTTTTTAAATCTTGAATTTGATCTTTTTTAAATACTGAGATATTAATTATGTTCATATTGTATATCTATTTATTATTTTCTAATGTAATTCTATGTAATCTATCTCATCAAAAAAAAAATTCAAAAGAATGTAAATGTTTTTTTCATCATTGATGATATGGTCTCATCAATGTCTATATATGTATATATTGTAAAATTATATATATGTATGTGTGTGTGTGTTTTTAAATCCATCCTTGGTTACATGTACACAGAGTATCTATTCAAAAAACATGCATGAACTCATGGCTTTAAAAATTATCATTATTTGAAATTATTTATCCCTCGTAAGTACAAAATTGTAATAGATATAATAATATCAAAAATAAAATTTCTATTTTTTTTTTTTTACAAAATCATACATTTTTTAACTTAAAATTAATTGAGACGTTTATTCCATTTGTTTTAATTTTAGAATTATTGTCATTTTTTTTATTCATATGTTGATTTCCAAATTTGAAAATTGATCTTGTATATTAGAAGAATGAATTTCAGAAGATATTTTTGTTAATTTTTTTACATATGGAATATAAAAAATGCAACTAAGTCTTCTAATTTTAAGTCGAAAAATATAAATTTTATTTGAAAAATTATAGAACTTGTTCCTAGTAAGCACCAATATATGTAAAGTACTTAAGGTATTGTATAGACTTTAACAATAATTTTAATATGTAATTATGGATATTATAAATTATTCTACATCTTGACAGCACAAATAAATCAATGTCCTTTAGCATTAAACTCAAATTCAAAAATACCACTACAATGGATTATTTATTTATTCTGAATTTTTCCTAATTTATAACATCTTAAATGATCAGGCAGAGGAATTATGGCTGTGCTAGTGAAGTATTATTGTCACTCTTCTTACAGTGTACAATTTATATGGATTCAGTATTTCTCTTACCTACTGTATTATACCAACACTAACACAACAATTATTCATTTACAACATCTATATAATAAGGAAGCTTGGGCATAAGACAAAGACATAAAGGAATCTTCTCATTGGTCAAAAATCAGAGAAATCGTTAACCAACAAAAAACCCTGCATAATTTGCAAAAAGACCTCCAAGTCAACAAAAAAAAACCCAGCACAACTTGTAAAAAGACCTTCAAATCAACAAAAAATCCTGCATAACTTGCAGAAAGACCTCCAATTCACTATCTAAACAGTAGATCATTATACAGCTTGTGTGTGGCTAATGACACAAGTTTCCACTAGTTGCAGATACAACCTTGAGCCCTAAGCAAAGTGAATACAAATGACATTCTATGCACTCACCAAAAGCCACAATGTTTGTTCACATTGGGTTCTTGTGGAGGAAGGGATTGGCCAGGATGGGGGGTGAGGCTCCTCCATCATGATGCCTGCCTGCTGCTGCTGCCATTGGAAACATGGGACACAAGTTTTATATGCAGGCAGACATAGAGCCAAAGCCATCGAGTGGTGTGGTCTGGATGGTAGTGTGAAAGTGGGACCTAGGGGGACATGGCACCATCACTGTCATTGCTTCCTTGCTATGGAGTTGTGGCGGGACCAGGCAAAAAGAGCGGCGGCGGGTGGGGTGGGTGGGGTAGGGAGGGAGGGAGGCGCAGACTTGTGGTACTCCCGAGTCTGCTTCGTGTTCGAAGGGGTTATGATAAGGCCACGGTGGGACCGCAGGTGATGTGGAGGAGTGTCATTGCTGCGACACTCTGGTGCCCTCCCTCCCTGCCTCGGAGGAGGAGGATCTGCCATGCATTTTTTGTTTCGGCCTTCACCATTTCCCTGCATGCGCTCTTTCATTGCAATCGCTGCTGCAGGATGGTCAGGGGAACAGTCCGGGAGCGAAGTCCTTGGTTTCGCGGGAGTTTTGGCACATGTCGAAGCGTTTTGGGAGTCCAGAATTCAGCGTATTGGGACAGGAGGATTTGGATGGAGAGAGAGAGGAGAGGGTTTATGGTATGGTATTGATTGCGTATGTATGGGTTAGGGTTTAGAGTGGATGATTCCTGGCGAAGAATTGGTGGGAGTGGTAGATTGTTGTGAAGGATTTTCCTAGGGTATGTTGTGAGGTTCTGTGCGAAGTTGGTGGAATGGAGAATGATTGTTTCGACGATGAGGTGAATGGCGTTATGGCTGATAGACAGTGATCCTAGCTGGGTGATGGGTGTCCAGTGACGAGATTGGATTTATTTGGGTACCGATCGCAGGTCTCCGCGTGGTTTACAGGTCAGGATTGTAACGATCACATCACGTTCTTGTAATTATGACAGCGGAGGGTAATCGAGTACGGAGCATCGTCTCGAGGCATTCTAGGTGATTTTATTTCCACTTGGACGGTCTTTGGCAATGGAAACAGCAATCTAAGCAGGAAACGGAATTTATCAATGGCGCGCTCTCGGGCAGGAGCCGGACGAATTTGTCCCTGTGCTGATCGAGCTTCTTTATGTGCACTGCAATTGTAGTGGTCGAAGTCGTCGGAGAGGGGTCTGGTAGAATTTCGCATGTGATTCCCATTCCTGCGAATGATTTGAGAGTTAACAGTATGGCTGTTTCAATGCTGTACCTGACGTGAGAATGCGACTCGAGAGATGGTAGCCAAGTAGATTGAAGGGTGGATGGAACAGAATCGCCGACGACCTAAATGTTGTGACAGAGATTAGGTTTGAGGGGTCGCTCGAGGGTTTGGGAACGGAGAGCTTGGGGAGTTGCTGGCTGATTGAATCTTGGATATAGAAGTTGCCGACATTCGCTGAACTTTCCGAAACAGATGCTCATTTTTTGAATTGTTGACTTCAACTCCCGCAGTGAAAGATTTTTCAGAAATTGGGAGGAAGATTAGCAAGTAGTCTTTCATGAGAGCTACAGGGTTGCATGATGTATTCAGTTTCATTCGAGTTCTTTTCATCAAACTCTTCACAACCTTGTAACTTCTCCAGCATTTTGAAGGTGTTGCATGTGGTGGATTGATTTCGACAGCTATTTCTGAGTTGGGCTTTATCAGCACAGCCGCAAATGTCATTACTGGCATATGGACAGGGCATGCTTGCGGGAGACATAGGGGTGGGTGCAGGACTTACAGAGCCTTGGGCTATCAGAGACCCTCACTATATATGGAGTGGAGAGAGTTTGATGGATGGGGAGAAGGAGTCAGACTCCTCTAATGTCGGCAGTGATGCCCCCACGAATTTCCTTCTCAATGGCCACCATTTCTTGAGCTTACTTGCAGAAGAAGCACCAGAGGATGTCGCGTCGGAAGACCCCGAAACTCCCGGACCCATTAGAAGAGAGCTTCATTGGGATTCTCCTCCGCAGTCTCCAGGTGCGGTGTTTGATCATCTGCCGTTCTCCGTGTTGCAAATTGTGGCTGCATCGTCAAAGGCAGACCTTGTGGCAGTAGGAATCGTGCAGAGAAATGCGGAGCATCTCGTTGAGACTCTCCTCTCGGAACCGAAACATTTGAGCTCAGGACTGAGTTTCCCGGATCTCTTTGAATTCACCGCCGAGCTGCATGCTCGCGTGAATGGGACAGTGGAATATGTAGGCGGATCGAACCTTCAGAAGAATTCACTGAGATCCTCGGAAAGCAGCCAGAGGCATTTCTTGGGCGCCACTTCAAGCTGGAAGCGTATGAGGGCATTTTCTTTGGGTTATGGCAGGATAGTTCAAAGGTTCCTGCTACTGCGGAGACTATTTTTTCTCAGGCTGTGCATTCGTTGCCCATGCTACTCGCAACACGCATCGAGGCACGCAAGTATGAGCGCTTGGGGAAACGATTTGATGCAATCTTGAAGATGATGCCACAAGCAGTAGTATTTGTAGATGATGAATTCGGTCAAGTTCTGATTAACCCTGCTGCAGCTTCTTTACTTGGGCTACCAAATCATGGCGAAGTGGAGCCATCTAGAGTTGCTGGCACCATGAAGAGGTTGGCTGCTAGTAGTGGCGGTCAACGGACTGATCCTCAGAAGTGGTACAAGGCATTCACGGGAGTGGAAGAGCCTCAAGAAATCGAGGAAGAGTGGGTCTTGAAACCGCGTCGGGTTCTCCATGTGCGATCATTCCCTGTCAGCAGCAGCTCCGCCCATGGCCGGTTATGGCTGTACGAAGATGTCACAACTGATCGAGATGCTTGTGAGGCCATCGAAGCGGCCAATCGAGCCAAGTCACAGTTGCTTGCCATGATGAGTCATGAGCTTCGCACACCCATGACCGGTGTGCTTGGGATGGTCGATCTCCTGCACTTGACAAAACTGGTGCCTCAGCAGCAGGAACTTGTCAAAATCATGCAGGAATTAGCTGAGGGCCTTCTGCAAGTCATCAACAATATCCTGGATTTCTGCAAGATGGAAGCCGGACGACTTTTTCTTGAAGAGATCGACTTCTCTCTGAGTGATCTCATCGAGCAAGTTGCAACATTGCATGAGAAAATATCGTAAGAGAAAGGCCTAAAGTTTGTTATCGAAGGAACAACAGGTACTGCTGTTGCTCTCCTTGGAGATCCTGTTCGCCTCCGGCAGATTATGGTAAATCTGGTAAGCAATGCAGTAAAGTTCACCGAGAAGGGTACTATCACACTGTCATGGCGCTACGTTTCTGGTTTTCCTCCTAACGATCAGAAAACTCCTGCTTCCATTCCATCTGAAGCTAGGATGAAACGGACTGCAAGTGGCAATCTTCGATTCAATTATCAGCCTCCTGTGTCATCTTTGGCAGACCAAATGGTAGCAACAGGGACACTTCGCTCAAAGCCAGTGGAAGAGAAAAAAGAGAAGACACTCTTTTTGGAGGTCAAAGTCGCTGATACAGGTTCTGGCATCGCGGTTGAGCAGCTTGAAACTTTATTTGCAGCCACACAAGCTGGGGCACCCAGAAGAGACGCCTCTGGAACGGGACTCGGACTGGCAATTTGCAAGGGTTTGCTTGAGTTGATGAAGGGAAAGATGCTGCCTGTGGTAAGTGAGGTGGGTAAAGGCACCTCAATTACTTTCGTACTACCTCTTCTGCTTGCTGAAGACGCTAGCAAGGTTCTCTTGGAAGGTTCTTCTACTGATAAACCCTCTGCGAAGCCATCCTTGCCACCACCTGAGGCAGAATGTGCTAAAGGAGAGACAAAGTTGATTAGTGTGTTGGTTGCGGAAGACAACAAGGTTAAACAGCTTTTGATACGGAAATCTTCAGGTACTACGGGCATGAGGTTGAGGTGGTTAGCAATGGAAAGTTAGCTGTGGAAGCCGTGCAAAGAAAAGCGTACGATCTTGTACTCATGGACCTACAGATGCCCGTTCTTGATGGATTGAGTGCCACAAGAGCAATAAGGGCTTTACCCCTGGCGATTTCTAAAGTTTCCATTTATGCCCTTTCTGCGGATGCCTTAGCACCAGAATGTGGTCCTATGGAAGGGACTGGTTTAGATGGGTACCTTAGTAAGCCCATTGTTTGGGAAAGAATGTCTCGGGTGGTTGATAAAGTCTTGGCATCTAAAGCTCAGCAACGAGCCAAGTAGATTGTTGACTGGAAAACCATCGTGTGAGATTCTTTCAGCTACAAGGATACCTGTGGATTTACGTGGATAGCGAGGAGCTCACCACCCGTAGGGTGATTGAAGTCCAACTCAGAGACGATCAGTGCTAGACACTTCGGTTACTGGTCTTTGACAATAGTCAGCAACCGTTCCATTGAGTCCTATCATTGGACTCAATGGAACGTTAACCCTATAATTTCTTAGTCTTTGGTACTTATCCAACAATTATCCTTATGAGCTTGATATTGTTCTGCACTGGACTGCTCATTGACGCTGTTACTGCTGCAGCTCTGTGCTTAGGTCACATGGGGTATATCATTGAGGACTGAAAGACCATGGGAAGCTTTCCGATAAGTGGCTCTATTGAAGTTACTTCACTTCTTAAATATGGTGGAGCCACAATGGATTAGGTACGAAATGTGTTGGTATATTGATGTGTGTCTCACTTTTTTTTTTTTTCTTTTTTTTTTTCTTTTTTTTTCTTTTTCAAGAATTACTCAGGAGAACAAACTTATTTACTCCAATTTTTCTCTTATTACAGCACAAATAGAAATTTTCATCTCAGAGGCCAAAAATGAGCTAATTTCGCTGGTGCAAATGGGCATCCTAACAATAGGGAGAGCTTGAAGAACCGCAGCATCTGTGCTGTACATAATGGAGGTAATACCTAGCTCAGAAGGTATTATTCTGAGTCTTTTCTGATTGCTGTCAAGTTAACAGTTTCATAGCGAGCTCTCAGATAAGTGGTATCCAATCAGTATTTCTCTTTATTCTGCATTCTCTGGAGTCTGCGGTGATCTGATGGTTTTTGTGTAAAAATTTGCAGACTAGTTCGTATTTTCAGCATTCTCAGGTTCAGTTGGAGTTGGAGAATGTATCATCACATCACAGACCTTGTCTTTGATACCACCCCTATATTCCGGTTGTGAGCTTTCGATGAGTCATTGTTGGATGTCGAAAATAGCGCTTCTGCATGCTTGAGAGTAGAAGCGTCGAACATTTTTATAGGGAATTACGAGAGTATTCAATCCTCCTTAGCACAGAAGCAAAGGTATCTGCTTGTGAGTTTACCCAAATTATTCAATCCAGGACGTGTCTTGAACTTCCAAAGCAATAGATCATAACATCTGGGTTGTGTTAAGTGCTCAGTGCCTCACCCAGTAGTGTTGAATCAGGCCCTTCCAATTCATGGCTTGCGCTTCTTTGAAGGAAGTCTTTAACCTGACTTACACCGGGATGTTTGGAGGTCTTACATTTATTGTTGGTCTTTGGATATTAATCATCAACAGTCTCGGAAGTACGCAACTTGTAAGTATTCTATCGAAGTCAATTATTGAGTCAAATGAAAATACAAAATACTTGCACATTCCAAGCTGAGTCAGACGTGAGTCCTCAAAGGCTTTAGGCGTACGCGTCGAAGTACGTGAGCAGTCTTTCCTTTCAAGGCGAATATGTTGCGTGCCCCTCATTTCTGGTAGAGTTGCAGGCTAAACTTCCTGATTATGTTGATGAGTTGCAAATGGATTTTGTCTTACCCATGCTCCTTCCTTTTTTTGGGTCCGGCTAGCACTTCTGTACGCTTTTCGATTGAAGTTGAATCCAGAAGTGTTCAAATCTTAAATTTAACGAAAAGTATGCCTGGAAATCCGTTGACAGATATACCACACCCAGATGATGAAAGGAGAGCTTATTTCAGTGCTTTTTCGCCACTTTTGCCCTTCTATTTGCCAATTGCCATGAAAATACCAACGCCGTGGTGTGTAGACCTTAAAGACTGCAATGAGCTTGTTTCAGGTTCTGAATTGATGCTCACAGCTGATTCTTCAACACGAGTGCTTAGTTACACAAGCTGACTCTGTTAAAGAGAATAGGCATCTATGTAACTACGTTACTGTGATATGGTAAGTCGTGCAATATTTTACATTTTCACAGTCAATCAATCCAACACTCACTTTCACCAGCTTCGCCCTTCACTACCCTGGAAGATACGTGAATGAGTTTGTATTTTCCATGAACTCCCTAAAACGCGTAGTAAGAAACAAATGGTGTGTGCCATAGCAGATGATTGACATACGCTTGCCATGCGGTTGGCCAACAAATATTTTCAAATCTCCAGTGCGCGTGAAAACTAATCGTCATAAAACTTTGCTCTCTAAGAGCGATTGGTTGAGAAACGATGGAATCTTCGAAGACAAACGGGGAACAGTCATCCGTGAGCAATCACACAACTATTAATACAGTAGATTCGTTTCGACGGTTTTCCCGACTCTTGACTTATCATGTGAGCGATGGGGGCAGCACAGAGGGAAATATGATTTCTGGAGGAAGGGGCAGCGGGATTCGGGCAGCACCCTAGGCCTGCGCCCGAGGACTCATCGTCATCTCACAAGGCATCTCTGTGTCTCCCCTCCCTTGCAAAATTCCTCCACACCCATTTCGAATTGTCGTGACGACTTGCGCGAGAGGTCGAGAATCAGGTCGCGGCGCTGTGAGTGTGAGTGGGTTTTTGAGGGATGTCACGGATTTAAGCGGAGAGGCGATTGCTTGATTGTGTTGAGTTGTGTTTTTAAGAATAAGTGTGAGGGGGGAGAGAGAGAGAGAGAGAGAGAGGGAGAGAAGAGAGGGAGAGTTGGATTTTGGGGGTGAGTGGGGGAAGAGGGCGCCATGTCGAAGGCGCAAGTGAAAACCAAGTATGATGCGGCCGCCAATGCGGCCACGGCTACTCTGTCGTTCCCTGTGGGCGATTTGAAGCTCAAGGCCACCTGCGCTGATAGTACCATCGTGCCAGGGGAGGGACTCAGTTCACGCGGCGTCGCTCTTGGTGTTGAGAAGCCTGGCACCTTCATGATCGATTACGACATGCACACGCAGGTCTGTTCCCTTGTTCCCCCCTGCTCTGCCCTGCTTTGATTTTTTTCTTTTCACGCCTATCGGTAAATGGCTTAGATGGCTAGAGCGCTGGTGGTTTGGAAATTGCAGAAGTAGATCATACCTGCTGTCTTCGCCTTGCTTCAGTTTTTCCCGTATTAGTCTGCAAACATTAGTCTTTTGCATTATGTTTGCAAGCGCTTGAAGGGATTCAGAGTTTTTCTAGGGCTTAGAAATCCTCGATTTTCGGCAATGCTGCAAGGCTATTGTTTCGTTTTTTCACTTAGTCGATTTTTTGACGTTCTCTGTATGGACTCCGGTCGTAATTGACTTGTCATGGTCCCTATAGCCATTGCTCGACACTAAGACCGGTTCCATATAAGGTTACTGAAGGAACACATCGCTATATAAAATCAACTAATGAAGTATTTAGATGTCTGACATAGTCTTAGATCCGTGTGAAGCTCGGGTAAAGCCATCGCAAGAAGCACAAGTATTGCACATTTTGACAAACAGAGGACCTGCGAAATTTCAAACCTTCTAGCTAACCTTAATAAGAACCCTTAAGCACAACTTCTGAGAAAATGTGTAAGTAGAAAATGCTCGAGAGCAGAGCTACGACCTGTAATGCTTTAGTTCCAGTTGTGAACAATTTCTTATACGGCTTCTGAATTCTTAGTTCCATTTCGACAAGAAGTTTGTTTCATAAGGCAGATCTGGCATCAAATTTTGTAGACCTTCGTACACCCTGGCAACCGATTAAGATCCTTGTTGTGGATATTCTGGTGTCAAGTTGCAAATTGTGGGTTGGATTTAAATGTTTATACATGATGAGGTTTAGGGTTATATGAAATAGGTTTTTCAAATAATATTCGTAGAAATGGCACCAGAAGCAGGTCTTCTTTAATCATCCCTGCATTTGTTTCTTTTATTCTAGAACTCATGGTGATTGTTACAAGTGCAGGCTCCCAGATTTCAATTTATGGCTGGGGCAAATATTGCTAAGAAGCCGTTGAGGCTGACGTACATTCATGCTCAAAAGCGCAACATGACGGTATTGGAAGGGAGTGTTTCTATAGATACGCGGAACAAAGTAACTGGGAAATACAGTTTTAACACAAATAAAGGATCATTGAAGTACACGTACGTACATGGAAGCGGAGCTACATTGGAGCCTTCGTATGATTTCGGGACTGAAGCTTGGCACTTTGCCGCGTCTAAGAAGGTCGGCCCACACGATCATGCTCGCTTCTGTTTTGATGCTCAGCAAAGCACCGTCGGTATAGAGTGGACACGAGACTCGAAGGAGTATGGTCAATTTAAGGTATCCTGTCCCTTCATCTTAATATCATCTACTTTCTGGCCTGGATTTTGATAATTTCTGTGCATCGGAAAAGAGGGATGGTACCTCCCTTCGGATAATCTGAAGTACGGCTTGGTCAATAGGGATTTGGCTGCTACTGAAAATTATAGGAGTGTTCAATCAGGATAGGGTGGTTTCTCTGGAAATGAGGTTGTTAGTTATGATGGACCACATATTCACTGTAAGTTTTTGTGTGGAGTGGCGCAGATTACAGCCACAGTACCTACTGATGCTTCGAAGACTCCCAAGCTTGTAGCTGAGAAGACGTGGACCGTCGACTTTTGAGCTTGAGTGCAGATTGCACGAGAATTGGTTGTTACTAATCGGCTTTCATAGCATCCATTTGACATCAGGCGTTCAAACATTCATTTCCCTAAGTAGTTCATAGTGCGCATTTTGATGTCTGAATGTTGTAAGAGCATAGAGATCTTCTTCTTCTTCTTCTTCTTCTTTTTTATTGTTTTTACATATTGATGCTCTGCCCATTTCTAAGTTGATGTCTTCAGTCGTTGGTAGTTTATGATCCTCATCATCCATTTACTAGCAACCATTCCCTGCCGGAATGTGTCAGATCCTGGAATGTAGTGGTGTCGAAGTATTGTAATTCATGGTGGGGGCCGCAAGCAGACATTGTTTCTTTGTTTTGTGTAGTCCATGTGGAAGTTTTAGACAGTGCCAAAAGGTTCTCTGAGGGTTTCTAGCGGCTGAGTGATCAATACAGCCTGGAGAAATAATTTGCTGAAATCCTTGTCTTCAAGTGACGAAATGGACTCTGATTGGAAAATCCTTCGTGTTCAAGTTTTCTTTGCGATTGCTGGTATGCCAAGTGCACCAAAAAAGGAATCTTGAGAGAATGAGCCTTCGTCCTTTTCCATTGTACTAGAGCAACTACAGCCAAATTGAAGTGAGTAAAAGTTTGGTTGTTTAGCGTGCAAAGCGTTCCAAGATCCAAAGTTTGAAAATTCTTGATCCCTGAATTCTTCAACAAGCTTGAGAGCATTTGCTTCAATTCATGTGCAATTCATCATCATATTTCTTTGTCATTGTGGTTTGAATGGTTTTAAATGAAGTGGATTTGATGATCGTCGTTGACTTTTATTATTTGTTTAAAAAGTTGAATGTTTGAAGTGATTGCAAATGTGAACATGAAATTGTACACTAAATAATAAGTCAAATTTTATCTCGATTCTAAATCTAACAAATTATGTAAATCTACTATCTCAAAATATATTCCATAGCGAAATATTATGTATTTTATGTGTGTGTGTATATATATATACATATATTTCTGAATATTACTCCTAAATAAATTGAATTTAAATATAAGATTTTATGAGAAGATCATTTTTAGAAGAAGAATTCTAAGAAAAGATGAATTTCTTTTATAACAAGGATGAAAAATACACATTTATTTGATTTTAACCCACAATACAATTGTGGAATTGAAGGGGCTTGTAAGAAACTTCTTTATGCAATTGACAATCTTAATGAAAGAACCTAACTTAAACTTGTATAAGCATTGAAGAGACAAAAATATTATTAATATTTATAGTTTTGACTTATAATCTTAATTATATTATTAACAAGCATATTTAGGTAGTTTTAGTCTTGCCTAGCTTAATAGTTATTTTTTAAAAAATAACTTAAAATATTAAAAAAATATGATTTTTGGTGCAATATATATATATAATTTTTATAAATTATCATAAAATCAAAATAAAATAATATAAAATTTAATTACTTATTCTTTAATTACTTTTTCTTAAAGAATAAGTAATTAAGAAATTCTTTAATTACTTTTTCTTAAAAAAAAGTAATATGATTAAAATATTGACTTTAACATTGTTTAAGAAAACATATTTAATAATTTATTGTTTTTATTTTGTATCAACTTTCAACTTAAATATTGTCAAGGACAAAAACTTGAAGAATGAAAATAAACAAATTAGATATGTCTTAAAAAAAGATTACAAAAAAAAAATTAGGAAAGTATTTATATTAAAGAAAAAAAATTAGAATGGCTATTGCCAAAGCAAGAAGAATCTTGAAACTAAATTAGAAGAAAGAAAAGAGTTAAGAATAGTGAAGAAGGCCTCATTTTTGCTTTCATATATACTATCTTACTAGAAACTACATAGTGATATTTTATAGGATCTCCAACATGTGTTTAACTTGCAAAGCAAATTTCTTATATGTATACTACATGGCCAACTTGTACCACAAGTGACTAAGATGTGCAACATGTGATCAACTTATTGAGAAAGTTTTTAACCTACTAATCACCTATTGACATGTATCAAGTCAAGTTCTCTTGATATTAATTTCAAACTCTTATTATATCTAAAATGTTTTGTAATTCAAAAATTATGACAACCTTAAGATCCATGTAATAATGTTTCACCTTTTAGAATATATAACTATTGCTTGAAATAAAAAAATAAAAAAATAAAACTTAAATTAAGAAGTATCATAAAAAACTTTAAAAATACTTTTAATATCATGAACAAGAAGATCTAAGGATATACTTGATTAAACTTGATTAAGAAAGATGAAATCAAGAATCAATATTGATCACATAATTTGAAGATAAAATTACTATGGCTTTAAAAGAATCATTTTTTGATAATTAGAAATTATATTTCTTTCTTTTAATATAAGATAAAAAGATATCTAACATATTTTATTATTCTATTTGTTGATATGTGGTATTGAATACAAATTTTAACAAAGAAATACTTTAATGAGCTTAGCAACAATTTAAAATACATGTTGAATTAAGATAATTGGAATCTTTTTAATTTTTATAAATAATTATTAAATTAAAAGTACGTTTAAGATAGTGGCATCATTTTTTAAATGAATTCACAATTGTAAGAAGCTCTTTCTTATAGATCTTCTAATTAATCTCAATAATTAAAAAAATTCTTGAATTAAAATATATATATATATATATATATATATATATTTATGATAATATATCTTAGACATACATAATTATCCAAAGAAAAAGTATTTGTTAGATAAAAAATAAATATAAGTAGATTTGATAATATCTTTTGAAAGAACTTTTTAAAAGCTTCATAGACACAAATTTGATTGTATATGTATTTATAAGAAATTGATAGGTTAGAAACTTGACCAACAAATTGGCCATGTGTTGAACATATTAGAAACTTGTAGTACATGTTGGCTATATGGCTCTCATATAGGAAACTTGTCTTACAAATTAGACATGTGTCTAACAAGTTGAATACATGTTGGAAGTCTTATAAAAATATTGACATGTAGCTACTAATTAGATAGTATATGTGGAAGCAAGAATGAAGCCTTCTTCACTATTCTCAACATTTTTCTTATTCTTAGTCTTGTTTCAAGAATCTCTAATCTTCTTATCTTTAACAATAACTATTTTAGTATCAATATTTAACTATCTTTAAGTGAATATATATATATATATATATATATATATATATATAATAATACAAGAATATATTGAGGCTTTTATTATTTTTGATTCATATCTTTAACATAATATCTCACTTGAGGCAAAATCTAATATGTCTATTTTATAAAAAAATGTCTTAAAAAAATCAATTCAATACAAAATTAAAACCATTTTAAAAGCTATTTTTATAGCTATAAATTTTTCTTTAAGTTCTTTTTTTTACTTGAGCTTTTGTTTATATATCAAACATGTAAATAGAGTTGTTATTTTTTAAAAAATAATAATAAATATCTAATATTTATTTACTAATTATATAAAAATATTGTATATCTCTTATTATTCTTTGAATCTTTCAATCCATGATAGTCTAAATTTTCTTAAGCTCCATTATAAGACCATGATTTGAAATGATATATTCTAAAAAATCAACTTGAGTTACATAAAATACACACTTTTTCATCTTAGCATATAGTTTTGCAACTCTAAGTTTTTGTAATATACAAAAAACATGAAATTTATGTTTAATTAAAAGTAGATTAAAATGTTGTTTAAATTTTAAAAATAATAAAATTATCCAAAAATTCTTCAAAAAAATCATTTATTAGATGTAAAATAGAAATTGATACATTTATGAGTTCAAAAGGCATGATATTATATTCAAAATGCCCCTATATGTTTTGAAATATAATCTTTTATTTATGACTTTCTTTGATGTGTATTAAATTGTATGCCTCAAATAAATAATATATATTCTTCATGGTGATCTTATTAAATACTCAATAATCTATATACATGTGCAATGATCTGTATTTTTTTTTAAAAAAATAAAATAAAATCTTCTATTAGAAATTTTGAATGGCATATAAAAAATTTGGTCAAGTTTTCATTAATATACTTCTTAAGTATAGCCAACTTGTTGTGTGATAAGTTATAAATTCGTCCAAATGGCAGCTAAGCTTTATCTTGAAGATAAATTAAGCAATCATAAAGACAATGCTTTAAAAAAAGAAAAAAAGAAAAAATTGTATTATTTTTCTTAAAAATGTCTTGTTAATCCTTATATTAGTTTAAAATTTTGATTGAAGTCTTTTCACCTTTAAAAATGAGTTTAGCATAAAGAACAAAAGATGACATTTTTTTGGTAATATGCATAAAAGCTCTTGTATCTACTAATAAGAATTTGATTTGATTAGACTTATAATTTTCTACAAAAATCTGGATTACACTATAGAAAAAATTGAGATTACAAGAAATCTAATATATTTAAGAATTATAATTATCTAGCCATAATAAATCTAGATTAAATAGAAATCTAATAATATTATATATTACTAAGCTATTGTGACTATTTGTTACTATATCTATAGGAATAATTTTATAGGTAGCATCTCTACAAGAAAATGATGATCATTTATGACTTCTACATGCATAAGATTAATCTTCTTTACTAAGAGTATTTCTTATACTTTAACAAATTCTTCATTTAAAAAAAAAAAAAAAAAAAAAAAAAAAATCTTGAATCTAAGAAGGCAAAAACTTTATAATTTTTTGGTTCTAAAAAAAATATCTATTATAAAATAAGGTGAAGGTTTTGAGGAGAGTATATGACCTTCATTAGATATTGTATAAGATTCCTGCTACATAGTCCATATTATAGCTAGATAAACTTATTTTTTTATATATTATTTTTTTTAGCAGCCATACTCTTCATTTTGTAGTTATGTTGTTTTTTTAGACAAGATTGAGTAGTGTGCTTAGATTCTTTATAATATTAATATAATCTTTTTTAATAAAGTGAAGTCTTTTTATTTAATAAAAAATTAAAAATATATCAAAACAATCTATATAGATTTTGGCCTTGATGAATAATTTTCTTGAAACTTAAAAATTATTTTCATGACTTGATTTGTTCCTTTTCGATCAATTTTTTTTTTTTTTTTGTCTTTTGAAAAATTAATTGTTACATGTTGTGGCTTGTGTAATAATAAATAATCTATTTTTGGTATTATTAATGATAAATCTTTGAAATTATCTTTCAAGACATATCAAAATTAATTGATAAGAGCTTTAACATTTCAATCCATATTGAAAGTCAAATTTTGGAATTCAATAGCACATATCGTGGCTAATTGTGATCCTTATTGTAAAGATTAGAATTTTGATTCTACTATTGTTTCTTAATGATTTTTTTCAAATGTTGCCATAAACACTTCAAAGATTGAATTCAAATTATATAGAAGTAGTGAAGAATTTTTCATCAAAGATGCAAACCAAGAAAAATCACTTTGAAGTAAAATTGTGCCTAAAAATCTAACTAAGGTAAATCCATTAGAATATTGAAAAGGATGTAATCTTAAATAGATCTTGATTTTTTGTAAAAATCTTCAAAATTTTTATCTTATTCCAGCAAAATTTTCCAACATACTAATCTTTACATCTTTCATATTAATAGTAGCAAGACTTTTTAGATTTATTTGTGAGATTAATTTCCTTGTTTTTTTCCAATTGGACAATTTTTTAACATAGGCATTGAATATTTTTATTGACTTCTTCTATAGGCATAGGAATAGTACTTCTATTATTGATGTTGATAAAACAAGAAATTTCTATTCTTAGAATGTTGGGAAGCTCATGAAGATCTGCAATAGTTGCAAATATATTCTCACTTTTGCCAAATATATCATTCAAAAATATTCCTTCCATTTCTATAATAGTCTAATTCAACAAATTCAAAAGTTAAATTAGAAGAAGGTTTCTATAACCTCTAAAATCAAATGAATTTTTTTATAAAGAATGATAATTGACTTTTCTTAAAGAAATAATTAATATTAAAAAAAATAAAGAATATTAGTTTAAAAGTGATAGTTCACAATCTTTATGATACGACAAAAGAAGTAAGATAATGTACTCACTTTTAAAACAAAATAAAAATAATAAATTAGCATTCTTATTAAATTATTAAAAGTAAGAATTTAAATAATAAAAATTAATTAATTAGATGTATTTCAAAGAAAGACTAAAAAATAAAAAATAAAAATAAAAATAAAAATAAATTTAAAATTAAAAAGTATATATATTCAAGAAGAAAATTGAAATGGCTAAGATAAAAAGAATATATTGCCAAAGACAAGAAGAATCTTGAAACTAGGTTAGAAAGAAAAAAAGAGTTGAGAAGAGTGAAGAAAGCTTCATTGTTGCTTCTGTATATGTTATTTTATTAAAAACTATGTGGTGATATTCTTTGTGTTTTTCAATATATGTATGACTTGCAAGACAAGTTTTCTATATGTGCACCACATGGCCAATTTATTGGCCTAGTTTTCAACCTAATAATCACATACATACATGTATAAAGTCAAATCTGCAACTTTGAAGCTTCTAAGAAGCTTTTCCATAAGATGTTATCAAATTACAAACTTTTATTCACTTCTACTTAATTCTTCTTATCTAAGTAATTAATAGTAACAATTATGTATGTGATAGATGTTGATTCAACCTACCTAGCTTGTATTAGAAAGAATATAGTGGTCTAATATTTTAATAATATATTAGATAGTACATTTTGGTTTTTTGTAAATTTTCTTCCTAAGAAAAAAGTTTTGTTACTTGTAATAATACAACTACTAAAGTTAAAATTTGTGCTATAAAAAGAATATTCTTTCAACTTAAAATCTTGCATACTTTTCAAAAACTTAATGCAAATTCTATTAGATTTTTTATAATATATTATGTAAGCCATCCAATTGGTTTTTTGATATTGGTATTCATTATTTTTCTTTCAAATTATCTACAAATATATCAAATAATTTTTCATATAATTTTTAATAAAAATCAAAAAAAATCTTCTTTTTTCTCTACATACTTATGTCTAGTTTATTATTTTGTAATTTAAATGAGATATTTTATTCTATTAAATAATTATAAATCAACGTGACAAATTATTTGATAGTAGAGATTGTATATGCTAGAAACTACAATAATACATATTGTGTCTTCAAGAACTAAAGAATGTGGATTCAGAATCTTTAAATATATATTAATAGTATGTATTTCATTTGGAATTTTTTGTTTTGACATACATAGACTAAAACAAATCAAAAATATATATTTTTTGACATAAAAAACTAGAAAAGTGGCTAGTTATCAAATTAGTTTAAATGTTGGCAATAATTAAAGAGATTGTTTGTTTGGAAAAAACTCTTATTTGAACTATTTTTTAAAAAATAAAATATAATTCCCAATTAAATATATTAAGAATTTTTTATTTTTATATAAAATAATTATTTAAATATTTAAAATTTTAAAAAAAATTCCTTGTAATATATATATATATATATATATATATATATATACATATAATCAGATTAGATTAATTAAATAAATGAAGAAAAAAATTATTTGATTCACATAATAAATTAACAAAGTAAAAAATCTTGCATCCATTTCTATAGTTCTGTTTTTATTTTTTTTTAATTAATTCCTCACAAGATTAGTTAGCTTTTTGTAATGTTTCTATACTATAACTTAAGCTTTTTAGAAAAGATTTTAATTTAATAAAAATATATTATTTTAATTAATAAATAAATAAAAACAATATTTTATTGTAAATTAGTCAATAATTTTAAAAAATTATAATTACAAATCATTTTCTTAGACCTAGTAGATAGAAACTTATTTATTATTAAAAAAAAAAGGTCCTTGTAGTACTGCAATTGATGAGTTAAATTGATTTTGGCAACTAGGCATTTAGATATTTGTGTCATGAATAGAACTTTGAATCTTTTTAGAAACTTCAATTATTTCTTTGATCTTTGTAGAAAATTTTTAAAATCTTCTAACAAAAATTTTAGAAATAAGTTCATACTAATAATATTTTTTTAAAATATATTCAACTAAATTTCTCAAAAAAATTCATTAAAAAAATTTCTTTAGAACATTTTTTGATGGCTAAGTTAATAAAGTTCTAGTAGCTTAGGTAGTAAGGTACTAGAAAGAATGAACTACAATCATGTACCTACATACTTGATATAAATAGAAATAAGATTAAAGTATGTATTCTTATTTTTCTCAAATCCTCTTTTCAGCAATATTTTTTCTATATCTTTTAAGTTTTCTTATATCTCAATCAAAACCGTCTTGTTATTTTATTTTGATATAATATTTTTTGCTTATGCTTCTTAGCCTTCTTTTCAAAAACTATTTTTTCATTATTAAGATTATAATAAGTTGTATTTTTAATGGTTTTTTTTTATTTCTTTTCCAAAAAGATATTAGTTAATTTGGTTCTATATTAAATTTGGGTACCTTATATTGTAATACTTACGAGATGAGTTTCTTGGTCCAAAATGAGTATAACTGGGAATTAATACAAAATCAAAAAACTTATTCTATTTGTACTATAATGTATTATGGCTCTTATAGCATTTGATATTTTTCTAGGCATATTTATTGTCATGTTGATCTTGTCTTTTTAGTTGATAGTAAGAAGCATTTTTTTACAAATAATAGTTATGATGTTTTTTGTTTTATTTTATGTGTTATCTAAATAAGAATCTTTAAATGAATGTTAACATCTTTTTGTATTAAGAAAACATCCTTTATTAGACACTTCATCTATTTGAAGTATTATTGTATTATATAATAGTATTATTATAGAGTTAGATAGAAATAAAAAAAAGTCCAATTATCTAAATCTTTTTTAATAGAATTATTTTATTCCAGCTATAAATAGCTCTAAAGTTATATAAATCTAATACAGTTACATTGTAGGTATTACTTATTGACTAAATCTTGCCATTGTTAGATCCTATTCACAAAGAAAATAAAAATAAAATTAATACTTGTAGGCATAAAATTGTATAATCTAAATTTAACAAATATTTTTTCTAATGAAAATATTATTATAAAGGTCCGAAATTTTGTTTTAGGTAGGCTTATTTTATATAAAATTTGTATTTTTTTTTAACACAATTAATTTTGAAGTGAAATTCTAAATGAAATTTGCTACATTTTTTATACATTCAAGTGAATGGAAGAATCTAGTACGATCAGTTCACTCAACGGGAACATATTTTGCGTGAGTGCTGCAACAAACCATATTTTTGTTCTGACGATGGTGCTTGACGGTATGTGTTGCAAAAATGGAAGATGTTGCTAAAAACCAAGCGTACAACAAATCAGGATACTGAACTCTGGACAAACACCCTCATCTATGAAGAACGTGTTTAAATTGTATTCTAATAAAGTGCTTATTGTAGTATAAATTCATGGATGTGTAAGCCTGAATAGGGCCTCATACTTGAGACAATAAATGGAGTCTTGGTGTTCGTCTAACAAATCAAGAAGACTTGTTGGTTTTTCAGAACACCAGAACTAAGCAAACTAAATCCGAGGAGCACTGCAGTTGCGTCGAGTTGAACAAGCTCCACAGTAGGCATAGGACATTTAGATGTCAACATTAGATCTCACGATACTGTGGAGCGTCATCCAGAGACCATGCGCGAGCCTTGGAATAACCCTACGGATGTCAAAACTATGGTCATAGATGGATACACAAATAACCGCATCAATTCTCGTTGCACTCGTAGTCATCAGTACGTTGCTGAAGGGGGCTGGACTGCTTAGCTTCGAGAGGATAGTCTTAGCCATCTTGTTTATCCTGACATCTTTGCTTTGGCAAACATGACTCCAGCAAACAGTCCTGGAAAAAAAAATTAAATTCAGAGTTCATCCAGGAAACAAACAAAATCATGAGCATGAACTCTAAACCTGAAATGTCATAGTCCTATATCATGACGAGATACGTGTAAAAGAATAGGGAACGTAAGTATTTGCAACTACGTGATTGCAGCTCGAAGACTGCCGCAAGCTTACCAAAGAATATACTGAACATATTCGGTACACTTGTTGGCACTTTAAATATCATGATACCAGCTAAAGATAGCGGGATTTTATTTAATGAACCCACCAAACTGCACAATATCCAAGCCACAGTTTTGTCAACATAAAAAAAAAAAGGGGATCTTTAACCGTAAAGAATCAAATTCAAACTGGGTGCAACTTTAGCCTGAACTACACTGCAATTTTCTGTCCTAGTGGTCAGTCATTCTCATTCTATGTCCCCAGTTAAAACTTAAGCAGAAGGAGGATCCATTCTGGATGTCAGCGGAGCATAAGAGCTTTCGTTGTAAATTATGCAGAACGTAATATTCAACCATGGTGTATCAACAGAAGTAATTCACAAACTTTCACTTCCTTGGATAGCAACCGAAAAGATCCAGCATCATTCTTATAACAGTGGTACACACCTGTGCGTTGTGGGACTAGTTTGGTGTAAAAACCACATTGATGTGAAGCTGATAGCTAAGCCAAGCACCCCACTCATAGTAGCCACTACCCAGAACATGGGAATTCGCAATGCTGGCCTGTTGATAAGGAAAACTTTAGTTCAGGAGATGAAGTAGAAAAAGGATAAAGCATCGAACTAAAGCAGCATCGACAGAAAATTTACTTAGTCACAGCATGAAGGTAAGGATGCTTGCACAGTGAGAATTCGTCCAAATTAATCTGGCTATGACCGTGTTTGCATGCATTGACAGATATAGTTTATACTAATGTAGCCAGCAAGACAAAAAGGAGGAAAACAGAAAAAAAGTGTAAGAATTAATATAAAGGGAAACTTACATAGAGAAGATGTCGCGCTCAAAAATAAGGATGAGAATGAAACCCAAAGGTATGGAAAGCAGATTGTTTAGCAGAACCATTGAGAACTCATTCAAGGTGCCTGAAACCGTTTTCTGTTTTGCTAGGTCCATCACTTTCCTCAGGCGCAACTGCAATCCAGTCAAATATTATCAACAATGTGCTGGAGACCTAGGATTGAGCCGAATTTTCAAGAATGAGAAGGTTCTGGATTGAGAACAAGGCTTTAACTACATCTCAAACATACATCCTAGTTTTCCGAAGAAACTGTGTATGACAAGGATGGGGAAAGATGATGCATGTACACTGCTCGCACCAAATTTAGTAATAAGAATGAATGAGAACAATCTAGGATGTGGAATAATTTCAAAGAATCACACAAGCCAGTCATTATACAACCTTCACCCTGAAACTGGTATGGAGAGATAATAATAATGAAGGAAAGAAAAGAGCTTACAGAATACGCGGATGTACAAAAGCAATTCACTATTTGCCACGCGTAACCTACAGCGTGAAAAGAAAGGTCCGTAATTCCTCCGCTAATCGCTGATGTAACCTGCCGTCATTCCCATCAAGCCATAACAAATCAACGAATTGTGATGGCGACAACCAAGCACGTACGTAAAAAAACTGGTTTTAAAGAATCAAATTTCTCCAACTAATACTGATCTCCCAATAAGAGACACTGCATTTTTCAAAATGAAATGCTGAACGTTGTTAGGAAAATGAACCTAGGTTAAAGACATACCATAAGAAGAAGAGATGCCCAGACTTTGTTGCTGTGGTGCTTGTTGAAGAAGTAGATCTCACCACAAGCCGTGATTAAATTCGTGACATTTTTCAAAATTGTAACCATAGCAACGTTCATAAACTTCAAACTGTTCACAACCCCACCGAAAAAAAGTTAAATGACATAGCCCATCGGAGTATTGCACATTAATGGTAAAATGATATTGTTCCTTCCAACTGAAACAGCAATTCCAGCATTAGTAGGCAGCAAGCTGAAGGATGGCATGTTCGCTGTGTGCAATGTGAGCTTTCAGAACTTCGCAGAGACAATTTGCTCGAGGTAGTAGGTGCTGATCATGAAAGAACTTACCTGTAGGTACTAGTCACTAGCATGCCAACAAATAAACAGTTGACAGGAAACCAAACTTTGACGAGCCTCCATGTCACAGGCTCAGTTACTATAGCTCCAGAAAATTCCAAGAGAACAACCAGCAAGACACTAATTACATTCTGCACAACATCAATGACAAATCATCAAGGTTATTTTACTACTTAAGAAAGCGATCCGTCTCACAGAAGAGTTACACAAATCTAGCCTTCGAAGCTACATTGCGCGATTTTCTTAGGATAACACTTATTTTGGAGGATAATCACCTACTGAATGACAGACAGGAGTCGTGTATTTCAGACGGAATTTAGTCTAGATCATTTAACTGAGCCAATTTTAGTGCAATTGATATCAAGTACTAAGAAGAAAAGTGATAAATAAATAAAGAATTAAATAAAACTCGGCGAATTTCCTTAGCAATTGACAATTACTGGTGGGAAGACCTAAAAATTCGCCACACTCTTAAGAGGAAATGAAATGAGTTCCTAGGAATCTTAACTGGCAGAGGATCTTACACAAGCACGACATTCTAAGAATACCACATGTATCTTCGTTTCCAATCTCCGACTACAACGTAATGCATAGTTTATGAAGATTCACGATGATTGTTTAATACAGTCTCAGCAGCTTACTGATATAATAGTGTACTAGAACCGAAACCTTTCACAGTTTAGGCAATGAAATGCACACTGCCGATCACCACACTTGGGATTGAAGAAATGACTTGTGGACAGGGACGGGTGATTGAAAGAGAGAGACGAAGGGGTTGAGCAGTGTCGCATGACATAACCAGAGGCAGTAGTACCTGATAAAACATTAGCGCAATCCCGCCCTTGAGACCATAACCGGACAAAACCGTTTTATTCAGTAGAATCATCCCACATGACGATATACAGTAGGCCAAGCCGGACACGAACGACTGATTCCGAGACCGCGCTGGCTTTTCTGGCTTTTCGTGTCCAACTTCGACATCATCCAGGCCCCGAATTGCCGGACTCGACCTAGAACCGAACCAGACCCAAACCCGACTTGACAAATGTCAGTGACGACTAAGTTAACTAATTCGAAGAAAAAATCCAAGAGCAAAGTAGAGCTGCCACTGCTCAAATGTGTGAAAGGGCAACTAGAAAGCTTACTTGCTGGCGTAGCCACCTCTTCGTAAAGAACTAGCCGGACTAATAAGAGGCGCAGACGATGTTCCATTGGCAACTCCATTCACAACATTGTGCCCGTTTCCCGCTTTAAAATCATCTAGTAATCCAATTTCAGCATCTTCAATTTCTGAAGAACTAAGAACCCGAATTGCCCTGAGCAGCAGAGCGACAAATTCTACAGTCATCGACAAGCTCATGTACTGAGGGCAGCAAACCACGCTGGCGTACCTCCTCCAGTCATCGAAACATTTGCATTCGGAAGTTACATAGTGACGACTACAACAAAAAAATGATTATTGCTACAAGATTTAAAATTTCAAATGTTTTAAGCCTGATAGTAGACAAGCCCTAGCAGAAAAACATTCGCAAGGGAGAATTGAGAATACCTAGTCGCCATGATTCTTCACCTGTGTCCTCTACCGCGACACTGGTGAATAAGTTTCGGCCACCTAAAGTAGCCAACAATCTTGTCTTCACCCAAAGTGGAAGAGCGAATCAGTTTCCTGTCCTTCAAAACCAATACACGAGACACTAAATCCGGAATTCCATTTCCTGGTTGACTGTGATTCACGATCCACGGCTTTGAGAGGTGAGAGTACAAGCCCACAATGTCACGGCACCACCAAATCTGAAACCGACATGCCTGTCCACAGAAGGTTGACTCTCTGCGACGGAAATAGCTTACGCCAATGCACAAGCACGGGGGAAGGACCAAAACATCAAAGTCCTCCCAAGTCGCAGCGGAAGGTGAGGCAGAATCCAAGCGGTTGAAAAGCTTGTGAGAAAAATCACACTTGCACCTGCGAGAAGCAATTAACCATTTCACAAACTGCTGCCGCGAAGCACGACCAGCAACCCTTCTCCCTCTTGAAAAATTAAAAAAGCTTAACGAATGTGCAGAGCAATCTATTCTGGTGACTAAATCGCGTGCAAAGTGAGACGGTTAGAGCTTCTGAAGCTTACACACACGGAATCATCCCAGAGTTTTACATACTTCCACGATCGCCACTCCTCCTCTCACATTGACTTCCCTCACTTGCTCCCACGTTCTTTAACTCACGTACGGTGTCTTCTCCTACAATAAAATGATATTTTGATTTTCACTGAAACAAAAAATAAAATCTAAATTTAGTGTGTAAAGACCAACTCCTCAAGGTATAGGAGTTCGTCACGGAACACAAGCAATACAATCGCAATATGGAAACATACTACTAGTTTCACACTAATCGCCGAAGCTCCAACTCCCACTCGATCACAACCGCGGCTGGTGATGATAACCAGCACAACCTGACATGCGCTTATTGAAAAACTCGATATTAAGGAGGTAGAAAAGAGAGCACAGAAAATACATAGTAAAGCGAAAACGACAACACGACAATTTTGGATCGAGGGACACATTTCTCCATAAATAGAAAAACCAGAACCACGTCCATTGTGACAATAGAAATTAATCGCTAAATCCAGGACAGTGCATCATATCCGCGGCGCACCACAAGATCTGAAACTGGACGCAACATCTACGATTCTCTAATAAACCTCCAAACCCTTGACCGAGTTCCTCCAGCCCTTCCCGAGGTGACTTTCCATGCCGCCAGATCCATGTCCTCAAATTCAGACATTCTTGCAATTCGGAGCAATGAGTTCCTGATTAATGAAAAGCGCTGGTCCGCAATTACATAATGAGCCGGGACTCAGCGGTCTGCGGCCAGCTCCGTGTAGGAAAACCTAATAACAGTTCAAGATTAGCAGGACGAAGGCGGGGAGAGGGGGGGTACTGGCAAACCAAACATAAAGCCAGCAGCTCTAATAAAGAATAATATAATTGATGAAGAAGGGCCTGAAAAGACAAAAAAGTGAGTAGGGAGATGGCTCATGGCGAACGTGGGACTATGGAATGGACACTAAGTTAGTATTAGTCTCTGCCCCTTTTTCTATTTTTCCTTTTCCATTCAGTCATGGCTCTCGATCTCTGAAGTGGTTGTCCGTATTAGCGGCCTTGTCCCCGTCCCCTTATTGACATGTGAACACATGGTGTACACCGCCAAAACTATACCTATCACCGCGCTCCGCCTTTCACCGCTCGGCTGCCGTGGTTTGGGGGGGAATTGGGAGTCCCCGTGGTCGTCGGGGAAGCAGTACCAGCCCGATGGGTAGCCTATAACCGACCACATGGAACTGGGAAGGGGGATCATTGTTTGTCCCCCCCCCCTCCCCCACAATCACCCAGCCCCATTCCCTATTACTATTCCCACCACGTCCCTTTCACACACACACACTCATTTTGAATTTGGAACCGACCCACGACCACGAACCTACAGTGCCCCCACGAAAAGAGGCTAAAAGTCACTTCTCGCCTTTAAAAAGCTTCGCTCGCTGCACCACAACTTTTAGTTGTTGCCTCCCCCTCCCTGACTTTCTCCTTTTCTGCAATCTATTGCCTTTTCACTCACGGATCGTAACTTTATTTTTTGTTTAAACGTAAGCTCTTCCCTACAGGTGAATAGTAAAAATTGAATAAAAATTCCTCGACTTGGGGTTAAATCATTGAATGCTACATGAATGTTGTTGTGGCCCGGGTAGAATTTCTTGCAACATTGGGCAAGTCAAAAATGTTCCATTCATATTTTTATTTTATATTTTTTCCTCATGTTTTTCATTGATTACATGGCAATATATAAGTTACATAAAAGAAAAGAAAAGAAAAGAAAAGGCTAAAAGCAAAAAGCAAAATTATAAGTGATGAGAAATTCATGTTTGTGTTAGATTATTGAACTTATATTTGTGTTTAAAGGTTACATGCAATCAATTTTACTACTGATAATATAATATTAATATCATATATTTCAATAACTGTGAAACAGTAAATTGTTGCCCTGATTTGAATGATCATTGAAAAAAAAAAAAAAAAAAAAAAAAAACGGTTTTGAGTGTATATATTGTTTAAGCACATTATGCTATTATTACCATGCTGTGCTTTGATATAAAGATCAATCATTGCTGTTTTCATAAATATCTATTCATTGTATATTTGTAGATCGTGCAGTTTTTTAAATGATACAATTAAATTACTTCATGGTGAAATAATCTTGTTCAATTGATTGGATTCCCAAAATACGTATATACGAAAACAAGAAATAAATAAATAAAAAAAAACCAAAACCATAATTTTTTTTATATATGATTTTTCATTCGAAAATGTTTGAAAGCATAATATGACAATGTAAATATAAATAAATCAATTGATAAACCACAAAAACTAAACTAAATAACACAAAATAACAAAAACAAATAAACTTACAAATACCCAAATTCTAACACGTAGTTTATACGTACATACTGTATTTTTATATAGATAAAATTGCATTGCTTGTGAACTTAAACAGAAGAATAAGTTATTAAAGTTTTTTAATCACAAATTTTAATGATTATGTCATAAAAAACATAATTGACTATAAAATTGACTACAGGGATTAAAAAATATTAATAATTTTTAAATAAATCCTACCACTATATATAAAATAACTGGTGTGCATTCTTGAAATTTTTTGATTGGGTAAATTTTTGGAGAATTTACAGATAGGGGAACAAAATCAAAATAATTACTAATAGAAGAACAATTTCTCTACATATTCTCTGTCTATGGTGAATCTTAATGGAGCATGGATTTGACCATGTTTGGCAAAGTTATGGTCAATTCAAAAAACCTTTTCTTTTTTTCATAGTAATTCATTTTCAAAAAATAAAATTGTGCATCATTTTTTGAAGGTTTTGTACGATGATAACTATTTCAAGTTTAAAATTGGCAGCTCTTCAAAATGTTTCTCTTGCAAACATGATGTTTCAAAGGTAGTTGTAAAACAAGCAGTTGTTAGTCACAAAAAGAGGTGTGTCTCATTGTTCATCAACAAATCTTTTTGCTAGGTTATTGTACATATTGCCAACAGATAAACTCAAACTAAATAAAATAAATAAATAAGTAATCTTTCTAATTGTAATTATTTTGATTATTTTCCCCTGCTTGTAAATTCCAATAGTTGTTTATATTTGTCCTTGAAGTTTGCTGATTTGAATTTTTTTTGAGAAAAGAAGTTATTTTTTCTTAATGAAAAATAAAAAAGTTAAAAGAAATTTGTAGAAGTTATTTACGAAACTCTTGATAGGTAATTAATTCTAAGATAAAAATTTAATTTTAGATGCGCAACACAAGATTGCAATTTCTTGAAATCAATTCTGAATTCATAATTACCAGGAAATGCAAACCACAATTCTTCATTGATGAAAATTTACTATTTTGCAAAATTATTCATCACATTATAAAAACTTATATTGGTATTATGTCATTATAATATCAAAAACTTAGTAATTATAAATGCACTAATAAAAAAATTACAATTTAATAACCAGTAACAAGCTGAATGGTTTTCTTTCTTGTAAACATATAAATTGATTTCGAGTTAAATATCTTAATTTTAATGTTGTTTGGAATTGCAAAATAAATCAAATTTCCTTATCAATATAGTGGCAATGAGTTCATACAAAATTTTATTTTTGTATAATTAGATTATTATTGGTTTGTTGGTTTCAACAAACCAAATTTAGACCAATTTGATAACGGTGCAATATTTGATGTACTAAAGTAGTACATAATGCCACATCTATATTTCCGCTTATTATTGTTTTTACTAGTTTCACAAGACAGAAAAATTGGATTAGGAGCTTTGTACTCATTTATTAAAGCATCTATGCCAAGATGGTAGGACATTCTTTGAATTTATAAGGTAGGACAATATCACGAAGGTAAAAATAAATAAAAATTAAAATTAGATTTAGTTGTATAAAATGTTAGTTTTACTCATTCTATCAAAGTAAATAAATAAACCAATTTTCGCATTTGAATTGAAAATAATAAAAATACTAATAATAATTCATCAATTCAATATATGTGTTAGTTAAAAAAACAATATGCAATAAATATATGCATCATGATGTTAATAATATATACAATGCATATATTTTTACAATAGAAGTTTAATTTTCAAATTAATTTTTCTGTATAAAAGTTGGTTTTTACATGGAATATTTGACTTTCATTATTAATAATAACAAATTATTACTATTATTATATGTTATGCTCAAAGAAATTCAAATAAAGAGGTTTTTGTATTTAGGAGAGAACTTGCAAGGCTGCAACTTCTGATTTATTTGATTAGCTAAGATTAAGCTTCACTTAGTTGGTTACTTTTAGAAAATTCAATTTAAAGATCAAAAGAAGAAAAGTGAAGTGGAATGCATTTTGTTTTCTTATGTAGCAAGAATAATGTTGTCTTTCAAAAACAAAATTGTAAACTTATCTCTAAAGGTGGTTTTTATAAATATTTAAAAATCCGTATTCAAATACTTAAAAATAATGATTTAAATTTTAAATTTGTGTTCTAATTTTAAAAACTAAGATACGAACTAAAAAAAATTGACATATAGTTAAAAAATGATTTGTTCCATTTTATAGCCTCTTTGTTCTTTATACTATCTCGAAAATACAGCTTTTCTTCATAAAGAGGGTATTATTTGTAAGACTTTTGTACTATGACTTATTCAAGTGGATTTTTAGGTAGAAAAACCCCTAAAATTCTATCCATATTTCAACCCTTAAGTCAAAAGCCAAATTAGCATAACACTATTGTAGCAATAAATTCTATAAAACTCACCGTGTAATATGTATATTTTTTGCATACCCAAAAAATTATTCTTCATTATTCAATTAATCAAAAACTTGAATATACAAATAAATAAATAAATAGATACATACATATCCATAATGTCCCAGCCAGTCCAAACCTGGCCTTGAGAACGGAGAACGAACTATTTGCTACACATTGGAACTCGGGGGTTCCTTTCATCGGAACGAAGAATCTGTGATGTGTCCATCGTGGCCTCCCGCTATAGTCCAACGGATACGGTACGTACTTGGTACGTAACGGAAGCATCTTTACGAGGAGTACAGATGTCGAGCACTGAATGGCTGGGAACTAGTGCCACGTTGGCACGTTTCTTCTGGTGGTATTGGTCTGAAGACCCCCATCAAGACCACGGGTCTTGAACTGTGGGGGGGCAGCTAGAGCCCCCAGCTAACATAACAAGCATTGTGGCGGTGTGAACAGGGTTGGCCACCTTGTTCTGTCGTCCATAGCCAAAGGGTTGCGAGGAAGGGGAAACCCTAGAATGGGAGAATGTGCACACAATTAAAAGAAATTCGTTATTTCCATGATTTTTTTGCATAATAAATAATAATAATAATACTAAAATCTATGATATCTCTGGCTAATGTGGTGGTTCATTTACAAGTGGATGGTTTTAAGCATGTTTGAAATTTGTGAACAATGTCTTCTCTTTCTATAACAACAACTTATTATACTTCACAACAACATTCTTTGTGGTTATTTTTTTATTTATTGATTTGGTTTTGTATATAAATGGCACGTCTTGCAGATCAAATATTAAACGATGCATGATTAAGATATAATAGTATTGTGGTGAATTTCATGTGAAATGTGTAATTTATATTTTATAAATAAATGAACTAAACACTTACATTTAAACCGTGTTTTAAAGATATTTAAACCATGTAAGTTTGAAAATTTGATGAAGTCTTATTAATTGTATTGAATCACTTATTTACTCAAAACATCACAGTATCAACTTGACTTAAGTAAATTATGCACTTCACAAAACTAGATACATAGGTTTTATTTTTGGTGCATAGTATTTTTTCACTTTGCCAATGAAAATCAAGTCTGATG